CGAAGTTATTGATCCATGACATTAACTGCATAAACTGAAAGCCGACACAGCTACTTTGTAACAAGATGGGCAAAATAAAATAGTACAGCAATGGTGTACTGGACAATCCTGATGAAATATAGGGTAAACCAGTTTAGATGTGTCTTCGTGCCCGGCTCTCTAGCGTAGTTGGTTAAACCTGACTTTCGCGGCGGCTGGGTGACCAACTCCTTGTGGTCTGGGTTCATTCCCGGGGGTAGGCAGAAAAGCCACATTTTCTCCCAGATTAACGGTACCTATAATGGAATCAATGCCGAAGGGTTGCGATATCCATAGTACCTAGCCAAAGGGTTTACAACTCATGGTTTTTGGATACGTAAAAAAAAAAAAAAATGTGTGTGCATGTGTCTGTGTGTGGGTTTATAGACGTTTTTGGTGTGGTACCTTTTCAAACAATTTGGTAAGTAAAGATCCCTTTTACGCTTAGGCGCATCGGGCATAGGCGAAGAGCGCCCGTATTTATACAGACCAATCGATACTATGTGGGTAATGTGGTCAGCATTACGCCGGCCATCTTTACTTCCCAGGTCATACATCTTAGTACCCATTTAAGGCTGGGTCAACCTGCGACGCCCCATACCATATTAAAAATCCACGCAGCCAGCAGTGGGTTTCGATCGCGGTACGTTGGAATTACGAATCCGAATCGCAACGCCTAAACCACGGATGAAACAATTTGGTACTATTCCTGAAAACAATTTCGGCAGCCCTGGTTGACAGTACAGAAGACAGCATTTTGTGGACAGATATAAATACCAACGCTACGGGGCATAAAATGTGAGAAGAGGAGGATTTGTGAGCGCTGGGGTGACGGGTGACACCCCCTCCCCCTTTTTTTTAAAATGTGTGGGGGGGGGAGGGGAGGGAGGCCTAAGCCGCTAGATTCCGGCGCCCGTATGACAGTCTAACGTTTATTACAGATCACTGTAAAAATTCCCAAAAATAGATTACATAAATAGTAAAGTATAAACAATAAAAGTTTGCATGAGAGGTGTTAACATGCCATTAGACAGTCTTAAGTTTATTACAGATCACTTTTAATATTTCCAAAGATATAGCAAAGTATAAATAATAAAAGTTTGTAAAAGAGGTATTAACACGCCATGAGACAAACTGTGTCCCATATTACTTAAATATTCCCAGATCACTTTTAATATTTGTCAATCTCGTCATCCCCTTGTGGGATGCAGTTTTTAGCCTTTTTGAAACCCCGCCCTGGCTTTTGCTGGGGGCCCTAAATATAGCCGGGACTGAAACATGGCCTAACGGCTAAACGGGATTTCCGGGACCTCTCCACGAGTAATCCTCATCAGCCTGGTGGCACTTTGTGTCACCGGGTGTGATGTCCTGGTGGGGTACAACATACATGCATACTTTAAATGATTATCATAGTTATTTAAATAGTACACTTTTTTTTTTTTTTTTTTTCGATCACCGGCTGTGAATTCCAGTGGAAGGTCAGGTTAATCGTCCGCTTGGACTTTTGGCTTTCCCCTGGACCTGATTTTTGCGTGTACAACCGTTTTTCATTTCCCTGCCTCATGGGCAGCTGTACTCCGACTTCGAAGGAAGACGTCAGGCCTATTTCTAGGTTGACTGTGGCCATTGTTTTGTGTGGGTCGAGACGTTGCCTGATTTGTGTGGTGTCCACTTTGTCTCCTTCGCCGCAGGTATTGCCCTCGGAGTACCCCTTTGGGGCAGCCCCCTGTAGAACAGTTAGCCCTCAAAGGAAGGCAGGGGCAGATCATGGGCATTCCCCGCCATCCAAGGAGGCTTCCATGCATGCAGAGCCGGCACATGGCGCTCTGGTTCTGGGCTCACCCAAGGAATCGTCACGTCCTGCACATGCCTGCTTAACCTCACAACCGTATCAGGCCTTCCGCTCGACAGGGGCTGCGCCCTCAGGAAGTCATTGGGGAGCAGCCCGTGGGTTTTGGACTTTTGTGACCACAATAGTACACTTAAAATGTATAATTTTTAACAATCTATACTATACCCATACAACCTATTACAAATAAGCTTATGCATAATCTAAGAATATTAAATAATTGTCTTCTGCTGTTCTTCTTCACTGCCTCTTTACCACTTGGGGTGTCGAGGGAGATATGAGGTTCTGCTTCTTGCTCTTCTGGTCGCCTCGTCCATAATCTGTGCTCTCTCTCTCTCTTTCTCTCTATCTCTCTCTCTCTCTCTCTCTCTCTCTCTCTCTCTCTCTCTCTCTCTCTCTTCCCTTTCCTTTGTGTGTGTGTGTGTGAATGCCTTTTGTGGTATTTTGAATATATTGGGTCATTGATTAGCAACAATGGTGACACAGTGAAAGAAATGAAACGACAACTATCAATTGCTATTCAAAGACTAAAACAACTGAATAAATTATGGAGTGTGACAGACAGAACTGTAAAAATTAGATTTCTAAGAGCAAGCGTCTTTCTCATTGCAACATACGCATGTGAGACCTGAACACTTACCAAACAAGCTGGGCAGTTCATAAATGCCTTTGAATAGGAATGTTATAGACGGGTTCTAAGAATATCATGGGTAAAGAAAAGAACAAATGCATCCATACTTCAAGAACTGAATATTGAAGAAGGTTGGCTATTCATCATCATCATCATCAGGTGCCTTGTCGACTGGCGTGGGCGATCATGCCTCTCCATAATCTGCGATCTCCTGCAGCATGTATCAGTTCGGGTGCCGACACACCTCCATGCCATGCAACAAGACTGTCAAGCATCTTCTCTCGTTGTCTTCCTCTATCCCTTTTTCCACAGATCTTTCCAGTGGTCAAAACGTGTTATATTTTCCCTCTTCTCATAACATGGCCGAAAAATGATGACTGTCTCCTTCTTTCATCCATCAACTGCAGAATTTCGGTTGACATTCATTTCTTTTTTGCAACTCTATGGGTTGGTGGGATTGTCTCTTTTGATGTCTGCTGAATTGACTCAAGCAACACCAAATTTTAAATATTTTGGTCACTTGAAACGTCACGAAAGTTTAGAGAGAACAACAATGGAGGGGTATATGCCTGGAAAGAGAGAAAGATGAAGGCCAAAGAGAATATGGGTGCAGGATATGGCGGATGATCTCCAGATGGGTTAATCGGATGCGAGACATCTTGCTTCTGATCGAGAAGTTTTTCCTGCGGTTGTTATGGTAACAAGGTTCTGAAAAGGACATGCTACTGACTAACTTGTGTGGTACGGCGTGGCAAGACATTCTTTTTAAGTGGGCAAACCACTTGATTTGCTGTCTTTGTATGTAATTTAGAATTGATTATGCGCCTCCCTTTTCTCCTATGACCCCTCATTTACCTCTCCTCTTCTGATCATCCCTGCACCTCTTCTCGGACACTCATTTCTGTGATTACTAAAATCTTAAATTTGTTTTGATGGTTTGTTGTGGGCAAATATGTCTGGCACTTGTTGCATGGCATTGGAAAGAATATGCTTTGTATGAGATGTTTCTCTGTGCCGATTGGGATTATCTTATGCTGTAAGAGTAAATAACCAAAAGTGATTATAGACAATACAAAAAAGTCCAGTATCCTCCTTAATAAGCATGTCATACAAGGCGTTTTTTTCTCCTCTGAAGTCAGGGTTTATCTGCTTGAGAGGTAAGAAAGCAATCCCTTATCCATGACGGTCTTCTTTCCACTACTTCTGGAATGCCTCGCAGCGTCAGGGAAGAAAGAGATCTCTGGGACATGCCCTCTTGTCGCTTCGTACATATTACTTTTCAGAGTCTGATATTTATGGAGTTCATCAGCTGTGCTCGACTGTGGTTCTGTTAACATTGCTGTCTGTGGTGCCCTGTCTGATGCGAATCTTGTGACATGACCAAAATACTTGATATTGCTGTCTGTGGTGCCCTGTCTGATGCCAATCTTGTTACATGACCAAAATACTTGATATTGCTGTCTGTGGTGCCCTGTCTGATGCCAATCTTGTTACATGACCAAAATATTTGATGTTTTTCCTCATGTCTTTTTCATCTCTTCCCACGGCACAGTATAGGGGATTTGAGTTGAACTGAGTCTATTCAAGAACCGACATCACAGCACTCGGCGCATTCCCATAAGCCCTCTGTCTCTCATCTTAAGCAGTCAGCGCAGAGTTCCAGAACCAATGGTGCCAGTAGTATTCTGATTATACGTCCGTCTTGCCTTTCCTCTGAGCGTCGAGAATCGGCCAGACCCCTTCGTCACTCCCCAACTGCATCACTCTCACCAGACTATGGTGATCTATTTTCTCCTCCGAATTGTACACGGCCCTAGCCACAACGTCTGCCTTATCATGCATCAATATTCCACAAAGGTGGGCACAGGATAAAAGTGACTACTTGAGTATGAAAGTGCATCCGGCGGGAGAGCTGGCGAGAGACCGACTTTCTTTCACGCAGACCGTGATGGCAGCGACGTTCTGAAAATGACATGCTACATGATAATGCGCAGTAAAATAAAAGTAAAGTACCCTTTTCATCGTTTTTAGGCGTATAGGGCATATACGACTAGACCTATATTTTTTTAGACCACTCGGCACAAGATGGGTGTTGTGGTCAGCAACACGCCAGCCGCCTTTACTTCCCAGGACTGTACCCGGAACCCACTCAAGGCTGGGTCGACCCGGGAGCCAAGGTCATTTTTGAAAATAGTCCGGCTCCGCTAGGGAGCGAACCTTCCGATCCGCGGCGACTCCCTATGATGTTGCAAAGCCAGCCAGTAAAGGGGACCTAACATCTGCCTTTGCCCGGACCCTTTCTTTGCCACAGTTACTCCCCGTCAAGTAATAATATATAGGCGGGAAGACGCATACGGGTCTCTTTGTTAGACCCAGTTCACGTGAATAGTTTATTCGAGACCCAGCCGCCTAGTAGAACGACATAGCGTTACTCTGCACCAGCCGCTTGCTTGCTCTCACAGCTAGTTCTTCTCATTCCCTATATACTTCAACTCTACAGCCATGGGTGAGTTTCGCTTCATATTTCTCTATTAAAGATGTAAAGAAAATTTGTACAAATTGTTTAATATCATAGATAAGTGATTTTGTTACGCGTGTACAGTCGATAAATCGGTGAATTTGTAATTTTTCAGGTCGTTGTGCGTCGGGAAAACGCACCGGCTTCTTTCTTCTCTAGCCATCTTGGTTGGCCGTTATAAGGGACATGCGATTAATAAGGGCTTCATAGAGCGCTATATTCTCTCTATATTTTACTCTGTTAACCCAACTATAGGGAAAACCATCTAATATAGTAGCGGCTAACGTTTGTTTTAGAGATAGAAATATGACCGTGCGATTTTGTAATGACAGATTTGAATTGGGGTGGTGGTTTTAATCTGGGGCAGGCTGTTAGGAATCTGTTTTTCTTTGTTCCAAGGTCGGCGAGGAACCGTGGAGAAGAAATTTGATGTTCAAGCATTGTTGTATGTAGAGGCCATCAGTTTGAAAAAATGGCGCTATTTTAGGGCGCTGGCTTTGTACTGTTCTCTATGAACTATTTATCATGTGAGGTATATATAGTTGATTGATATAGATCAAGATTTTACATTTATTGTGGTTAGGGAAATAAATTAACATTTCATTGTAATAAATTTCAGGCTCCATTTTTAAGACAGAAAATAAAGGCGCGATGGGAAAATTTTTTTTTTGAACTTTCTGTAATAGTAGCACGTGCTATTTATTTTATATGAGCAAAATATGCAGTTATTATTTCTGATTTAGAAAGAATATATTTAACGCATCAATAAATATTTAAATACTTCAGGATAGCTACATAAATCATTTATGAAAAGTTAGGTGTCCTTATTCGTTGTACCAGCAGATATATTTAATTCTTGTGTACAATTGCCTTTTATTTTACAATCAACAATCTTCTATAGTTTGTTGAACCAGACTGTTGGTTAGTAGGAATAGTTTCAGGTATCCATTTAAGTGGGAATTGTTATAGAAATAACTTCTTTTATTTACTTTCATCATAATTGGTATAGTTATTTTATAAGCCTTTCATATTGAAAAATTACCTCATAAATTATTTTCAAAATAATTGTTAAACTATAACATGAAAATTCCTGCAGACCATACAAAATGTGTAGGTATGTTAGTCAAATTTTCACAATCCTTACTTTTATACAAATAAAAGTTATATTTAATTTTATATTCACCATCATCATGTGCCTTGCCAACCAGCATGCTTCCTCATATGATCTTGCAATTTCTAATTGACATCAGCACATAGACACTGTTTGCCATACTGTGATTTTCTCAAACTGTCTTCCTTTACATGTGATAAATTCCTTCCCGGATGTTACATGTTCATTACCCTCCCCCTACTCAGTGTAGTGTACTCCTCATTACTCATTGTCTTTGTCAGCAATCCTTGCAAAGTCGATCTTAGGGGATGCAATCACTTGTTGTTTAGGGCTTTAGTTAGTGTTAGCCCTAATATTAAACAATAATAATTATAAAAGATCATCAGTTTTGTGTGAACTTAAACAATTGATTTTCAATTTTGTTCCCCAGGAGTCAGAACTTACAGTTACAGTATTAACCCACAATAGTTTACCCTCTATCGTCGCGTTGCTAGGAAAGCAAGCCCCCCTTTTTAAAAATTATTTTCCTATTTGTTAAAATATAAAGTTTATAAAGAATGGGCCCATAACTTCCCAACAAGCATGGCGTTCACTAATTGGAGGCTTCCTTCGAAGTTGGGAGTCTCTGCCTACCTTTGCCTCTCTTATTTAGTTTTTTCTCTTCTTTTAGTTTATGTGTGTGGCTGCTTGCCTGTTAAAAAAATTTTTTTTCTCTGTCATTTCCTGGTGGTTTTAGCATCTACTGCTGTCAGTGTATTTAACACTTTTCAATACTTGTATCTCTACATATAGTTAGCATATGAACTACTGGTTTGACCGTTTTGCCCTTACTCTGCATAAGGCAAACTGGAATTTCAGTTCTCTTGAGGACTACCATGGGTTTAGTTTTGCAAATATTAATAATGGACATTCCTTCTACTAGCCCTCTTTTGCCTCTTAAACTAGAGAAAAGAAGTAGAAACACCATGTTCATGTATCTGCATGCTTATACATGAATCAGACACATTGTAACCCTTGGAAGGAGTTAGTGAAATTGACTATCAACCCTGTATACGTTACCCTTTTTATCAAAATAATTTTTTTTAGTCCTATTTTGTAAGTACCGTAATACATTGTTTGTTATTGATTGCTTTTTTTAATTGTCCAGGTCGTAATAAGGTAGCAATTGGAAAAGTCACCAAAAAGAAGGTTAAGGATCTCAACAAGCCTAAACGGTCGACTTCTGCATATTTCTACTTCCTGGCCCAATGCCGAAAGGAAGCCACAAAGGCTGGCAAGCCTCCCACAAAGGTAAGCAGTTAAGAATTAAGATTGATGTAATTATCAGTTTAAAATTTTTTTTTTTCATGTATCAATGTGATTTTTTCCTGTCTTTCTATATCAAAGCATTTGTTTTATTCATTTTATAGTTCATCATGTAACAAATTTAAGCTTTAGTTAATTCTTTTATATGCCTAATTATGCTTGTTTTAATTGTAAATTACAAAGATAAAGATGCGAAGTGAGTCTCTTGTATTACATTAATCAATACATAGGTAGAAAAACCTTGCCAGACTTAAGTCTTAGGTAAAATATTAATTGTATTATATAGACATTTGTTAATAATATTCTAATATTACAGATTGCAGAATTCACCAAGGAAGCGTCAGAGAAATGGAGGGGACTAACTGCAGACAAGAAGAAGCCCTTCGAGGCTGCTGCAGCAGAGGACAAGAAGAGATATGAAGTTGAGGTGAGTGCCAGTGGCTGCAGCAATCGTATTACACTTTCCTAAAAATGCATCAAATATTCTAGTGGTATAGGAATAGTTCTGTTGTCTCTTATCGGGGGCCAAATGCTATTCCATAAGTCCCTGCACAGTGAATTTGAAAATTAGGAACTGCACAACTATGACCTGATGTTAAAAATTTTGGCTTATGGGGCACCCTGTGCATGCAAGGTCAGATGTTCTAGACAAAATTTCATCTATGGTGTGGAAGACTAACTTTTCCCTCTAAAGTTGGGGCACATTTGCCTGAGATCTGGAACTAGGCAATATTGAGATCTATCAAACTGATGCACACCTCTGGTTCTGAAACTGGTGGACGAACAACCAGAAATTTCTGCTGGAGTTAACAGGTGGCGAACGCTTGTAATAATAATAATAGTAATCTATGATAGCTAACAGATTTAATAAGATGGAATGGACATAAGGCTGCAATAACTGTTGAACATCTAAATGGCATCAAAATAATGATGCAGTCGAATTAAAATTTTACATGAAAATCAACTAATCTAAACTGTCTTGTATCAAATTTCAGATATGTCATTCTTTTTTTTTTTTTTTGGGTCTTTCCTTCGCCTAGATGTTGTGCTATAACCTGTCCTGCAGCTTGGTCTGGTTTTAATCTGTCTCTGTCATTAAAATCCAGACACTGTCTGGTATTCGCATATGCTATTTGTCTCAGATATGAAGGGAACCTATTCTTATATTTCAGATGGCAGCCTACAAAGGAAAGTCTGTAGATCCCAACAAACCCAAGAGGCCACCAACTGCGTATTTTCTTTTCCTGGCCGGCTTCCGAATCAGGATGGCAAATAAGGGCATTGAGCACAAGGAGCTGCTTAAAATGGGTAAGTGGTCTGAATTTGTTCTTTTTTAGAGTCGCCATACAGCATATGGGCCCTTAGGAAAACATTGGATAGGGGAGGGGGTTGGTAATTGAAACGACAAGCAACTGACTGAACAGTTGGTAAAAATATATATTTTTTTTGCATAAAATACTGCTACCGCTATCTGTCGCATGTAAAAGTGCTCAATTATTCAGGTTTATAGAAATATAATTATTGAGCTTGCGGTCACTTGCAAGTCCGGTTTCATAATTTTTTTAAACTATTAGCTTCCCCTTTAAATTTTATGTGCTTTACCGGTTTCATAATTTTTTTAAACCTTTGGCTTCCACTTCAAATTCTATGTGCTTTAAACATGGAAAGGCTGATACATTTCTGATTATCGCTGCAGAGAGTGGGAACTCTGGAATCGGTAAAGTGGTTGGCTACTAGCCAAAATGTCTCTTTTTTTTTCATTTTTGTCTCTAATTTCCATACATGTTGGGAGCATAGCAAGAAGATTGTAGCTGTGCTTTTATCATGTTTTATCTCTGTGCATTAACACATGCATTTTGTTTAGTTTCATTTAATGATTCTGTCATGTCATTTCATTCCTTCTATTCTGGATAAGCCAGTTTGTGTTTTATTAACACACTTCGTAAATTCTGATGTAAAATCAGTAAAATCACAACCTAAACATGCTGGTGTTGGTTTAGCGAGTTCTCTAAAGGATACACAACTAACTGTTTAAAATTCTGGGCCATCCTCTGAATAACGGCCGTAAATTATAGAGGTGGAAAATATACCCTAACAGGGCCTTAGTCACGTGTCAATTAATTGCGCACTTCCGGGGACTATAACGCCACAGCCGAATTGTGAACTTACAGCAACTTGCGCCACTGCTGAGTGTCCCCCGCGACATGGATTGGGGGCTAAACTAGATGGCTTGGACTCCCGGGCAAATAAAATGAAGGAAGCTGCAGGAAATGTAGCAGCTGCTCGTGAGTCCTAGCCATCTAGTTCAGCCCCAATCCACGCGGCGTAGGGGACACTCAAGTGGTGGTGGAAGTTGCCGAAAGTTTACAATTTGGCGGAAGCGAGCATTTTAATATGACGGAAGTGCTCAATTGATACGTGACTGAGGCCCTGTTAGGGTATATTTTCCGTCACGATAATTTCAGACTGTTATTCAGAGGATAGCAAAATTCTGAATGGGCAGGAGCTAAAGATTGTAGTTTAATATATTTGGTTTGTTTTCTATATTACTGCCACTCACAGTTGCAGTTATTTCACATTTAATTAAAATATTCTTAAGTTTGGTACTAGAAGAGGCTAATTGGACACAGTGTTCAGAAATCAGACTTGTATCATGAGATCTCTTCTTAGCGTTCACTGCCTGTAAACTCCGGCGACAAGTTTGTCCACTTCCATCTTAGTTGCAGAGCTTTTGCGTGCACTTCTGTTTTATACATTGGGCTTATGTATCTGCAGACTGTCGGTTCCTTGCCTGTCCTGCAAAGGCAGTCGGAGTTTGATGGAATAATGTCTTCTGTAAACAGATTTGAGGCACAAATGTCTTATATAAACAGACCTGAGGCACGGGTGATGTCCGATTTCAACGATGAGAAAACCTCATGTCTGCCTTTTTGAGCATTTGTCATTGTTTTAATTTTTAAATAAAGGATATATTCATTTTTGTTATTTGCCTATTTAAGCTGGTGAAGAGTGGAGATCCATGACCAATGAAGATAAGAAACCATATGAGAAACAAGCTCTGGAGGAGTCTAAAAAATATGAGGCCAACATGGTTGAATACAGAAGAGTAAGTAATTATTTTTTTTCTTTGCTAGATTTTGTTACGGCAGTACACAAATTTTTTTTTTGTTTTGAACTGACGCCGGATTTTGCCTGCGTGTTACCAGAGCCTTAAGGGAAAATAAAGATAGCAACAGGATATAGCAGACAGTTTTGTAGTGCTGTGCTTGGACATCTCTTTTACAGATTTGGCTTATTTATATGAAGACTGTTTCCCCGCTGTCAAAGTACATCTGCCTGAGAGATTAGGCTCCAATCGTCTGCTTGCATTTGGCCAGAAACTTTAGAACAGATGTGCACAGAAAAGTCTGGAACTGTCTAGAAGTTTAACAACCACGTTTCCCAGTTTACAGTCGGTGAACACAAGGACCACTAACTTTTTATATATTATTAACAGAAAGACATACCCCTGAGCACATACTGCAGCACTGCCTTAACCTCTCTCAGCAAAGACTGGATCTGGCCCAAGGGAGCCACATTGCAAGAGAAGCTATGGGGGACCGGTGGCGACATTAAACGCACAGTTCTATTTGTGACCCAGACAGGACTCAGTGTTTACCATGACTGATGTCAAACGCAGAAGAAGAAGATATATTATTAACCACAGCGTTTATCTAGTGGTAGAGATTGTTGTGTTGCAGTCAGCTTTCATGTTAAGACCATCCAGATTGCACATCATAAGTGCTCAAGTCTTCTAAACGCTGCTCAAGAAAATCTAAACTTTACGTTTGACTGAATGTCTTAATTGTAGGTCATACTATGTTTTTTTCTGTGTGAACATAACATGCATAACGTGACCAAAAAATAAAGATGAATGTCTGTAAGAGCGGAATTTAGAGCACATCTGTATGCCAGCCAAATTTTTTTAAATGCAAATAGGCAGACCTATATATTATAGCCAGTTGGCATTCCATGTGTGATGTTGTGCTGGGCGCCTGTAATTCCCATTTTAGGCTAGGTCGACCTGGAAGCCAAAGTAAAATTTTTTGAAGAAAAATCCGGCTGGATGCATGTTTAAACCTACAAACACAGGGCCAAAGGCACGTCTCCAGCCGCTGACACTACAGCAGCTCCCTCTGCTGGTTCAAAATCCCTAACATGTTTTCTTTTATTGCAGACCGGTGGAGGTGCTGCTAGCAGTGTGCCTGCTCCCAAAAAGGTTGTTGCAAGAATGGAAGAAGATGAAGACGAGGAGGATGATGAAGAAGATGAGGATGAAGAGGAGGACGATGATGAGTAAATCTTTAGCCTCAAGATACAAGTGTTGTGTGTAAAAATATATACATACATTATTGAGTGTGTGTATATATATTGTTTCATATGCCATGCACTTGCTGTTCTCGTGAATGCTACGAAGACAATGTAAATTCCTAATTTGCTATTTTTAACATTGTTGATTTGTGAGACAGTATCACCCAGTGTAAGGCTTTAGATCTGACTCATAGTTGTGTAATTAAATGAGCACATGGAGTCTTCTAACTTTGGTTATCACCACTGTAGCCGCATGTGTAACACAATATTTGTGTGTTCGCACCACATATTAATTTCTGCCGTTATTGCGATCCATTTCTTTTAAAGCCCCCTTCCCCCAACTTCATTGGGATGCCGACAGCAGTTTTAGTGTGCCATTAACATAAACTGTATTTCAGTGCTGTCAGAGCATATTGGGCAGTGATGTGGTGCCAGTACTGTCTTCTGATATATGAGTGTGTTCAGTACCACGACAACAAATACACATTTTTGTTTTTATGTTACAAATTTTTGATGCCAGTGTTAATTCAACTGGGCTGACACCCAGTATCCTATCACCGCTGGACATTACATGTCTGGTTTTCATATTTTCTTCATTTTTTTTGTTTAAAGTCACTTCTCTGGTCTACATTATAATTATCAGTCTGAGTGTGGCAGTTCTGTCTGCAAAAGTGTTACACAAGCGTGGAGGTCAGACTTATTAATGGCCAAAAAGATTTGCAATAATCAACCTGTGACTCAGGGATGTGCACGAAGCAAGTGGTCCCATTCACTCTTTTGTTTATATGTCCTGTTTTTTCCTACTCTTCAAACTGGTTGTTGTTCTGTAATGGCCAACTTTGTACAAATTTATAGATCAAAACATTTTTATATTGTTTTGTTTAGAAAATGAGGACAATCTTGCGAGCATTTGTCACTCCCTTTATTCTTCTATTTTTAAAACCAATTTACCAATCTGCCAGTCCTAAAATATTCTTCAGTGAATGCTTTTGTGAGAAAATAAACCACTGAAAAAATTGTCTAGCCTTTTTTAATAGTTTAAAAGGCGATAAAAATGTTGAAGTAGCCATTCAGAGCCAGATTTCATGTTTGCTCCTGCCAAACGTACAATGAGTGACTACCCTTTAGGTGATGATTCACTAGTAAGTGTCACTAACTTGCACATTGGGACTCAAGCAGTTAGGTATCCTAATCATGACAGCTAGCTCTTGTAAAGTTTAAAAAAATGAGTTAGCCACTTTCATCGATTTGTGTTTTCACTGACTGGAAGCGTAACTCATGGCTAAAAGTTGGCAGGACTTTATTTAGTAACATTTGTATTCCTGCTCATTCAGCCACTATAACCTAGTCACATTTTTTGTTAGTAGGACAAGAAACAAGTCCTCGCGGCATGTATAAATAATCGCAACTAAAGGCTTAGATGTGGTTATGTGCATAATGGTCACATGATTTTTAATTATTTTTGTTTTTTAGCGATATGCCCCCCTAGGGAGTTTTTTTCAATCTGGTGTACGTTAAATTGTTTTCACCTTTTTAGACGTCTTTATCTATATACATGCCCACTTTTTTTGTTTGATTTTTGTTAATTGCCTCATCGGTATACCATTTTTCATTAGAAATCATCTCACACATTTTGGTTCACTGGTTTTCATAATCATCATATTGCTGTAGTATACAAAATGAACAAAGCTTTTTCATTGAAGCTCGTCTCATTTTATTCATGACTAATGACTTTTTAATTCGTACATTTAAAAAAAATATGAATGTCCAATAAAAAGTGTTTAATGTTTACTGCCGTGTTGCAACAGAATTGTATGGATGTACTGTCCTTGTCAGATTTATTTTGTATCTCGTGGGTACAATCTCATGTTTATACCATCTCCCGTAGCAAAGAGATGCAGATAATACACCAACAATGAATTCTTCTTCCTCATATTCACTAGCTGTGAATTCTGTAAGTTTTCCAGTGGTCACAGCATGTGCAAGTTTTCTTCTGAAAACGTGACCAAAACACAATGTATGTTTGTGATAAATTGGTTCACTGGCCTAAACCTCTGGCAGAAAATCTTGTTTCAGAACTTGCATTTTGCATGCACGTCCGTTTCGTAGATCTGGCTTATTTTATTTGACTGTTGGGTACTCACCTTCCAGGCAGATACACTCAAACTTTACAGGAGTCTCCTCAGTCGTTTACGATGTGCTTGTTTGGGAGGAATACTGTTTATATATGAACAAGAAGATTCTATTATTGTACAGTTAAACAAGACATGAAGCCCGCTTTGCCGGTTTTTTTTTTTGGGGGGGGGGGGGGGTGTCTTCTTGCTGTTTTCAGGTTGTCAAGGTTTTCTGTATTTGTCTTGCAGTTGGTTTAGGTGATGGATTTGTCATTTATGACTTAACTTGGTCGCTCCTCTTCTACCTTGATGTAGTTTTGCCAGACTTCCATGTCAGTTTTTCTTCTGTGTTGGATGTGGGTATTCCCAGCGGACCCTGGGTTTCAAGCTTTTGGCGTATTGTCTGATTGCTGACTTTCTACCTTCTTGACACTTGGACCACTTTTTTTTTCATTCCTTAGAGGGCTTGAAGCTGGCTTCTGTGAGCTGTTATTGCCCATGACTCACCTGTTGTAAGTCAAGACTGGTACATAGAGTAGTAGACAGCTATTTTCGTCGTCTTGCCAATTTCTCTTTTGAAAAGAAACCCTAGATTTCAACGAGGGTTATTCAATGGGTCCTGACTGATCATTATGCCTCATAATTACATGACATCCTAGTTGCTTGACATTGTGCATACATTTGGATACTACGTAGCCTCTTTCTTTCCCTCCCTCCCTCCACTCTCTTTCCATAGATCTACTTATAAATCTTCTGTCTTTCTCATCTTCTCTCTTCCATTCTCCTCTCTCTACCCCACCCATACATATTCATTCATCCCCGTCACACATGCATATGTAATAATTTCGCGATAGTGAGAAACTCTCCACCGACTACATAACTTGTTTTGGCTACCGAGGTGGCAAGTATTGTGTTCACACTGTATGTGTGCGGTTTGGGCTGGACAGATACTGTGCATAAGAAACATCCTTACAGTCTCGGTGTGCAAGCTGAGTCAGAGGGAAGCATGGTATCACGAGACCATTGTTCAAATTGCATATATTTGTATACATCCAGTACCATCTATCCATCCACGAATAGATATTATCTAGTCATCCTGATCCACTCACCCTATTCATCTATCTGTTCATTCATTCACCACTTTCCACCTTTCTTGGGTGTACCATCCTATTCGCAATACATTCCTGACTCTTTTGCACACACATCGCCCGTGCACTGTGCTGAGCTTCTCCGGACTTGAGTTAGAAGAAGAACGAAGCACTTATATGGGTTACTATTCCTGTGCCATGATGTTGATCCGTTTATTGTTCAAACCTTAAACTTTTGCACACACACCTGTGATAGTCCATCACTGGTTTCTGCTACCAACACGGCAGGTAAATTATGGAACAGTCATCCTTACCGTCTTTATTGGATAGCTGACAAAGAGAAGCAATATGTTACGAGACCCTTGTTTTTACCACATCCTCTGCAAATGCCAGCTCTGATATACAGATTGCTCTCTTCTAGTGCCCTACTGAGTATTTCTTTGTCTTCTTCTTACAGGTCTTGATGACATCATCCATCATGAGAATGAAGAGGTAAGGTGAGAGAAAATTTGTATTGCGCTGGAATGTCTTTCTCTGCCAAGCAGTCCCAGAGC